GGTAGGCCTGGCTGAGAGTGTGTCACCTAGCAACCTTCTGTGGCAGGTGGGGATCTGAGTATTAGAGACACGTGGCAGGTTGCTTAAAAACTCTCTTATTACATGTTGCCTGTCGTGAAGATAACCTGGTTCCAGGTGTTCCTGTTCCCTTTATTTTTGGGACTGCAACTTCCATCATCATTCTGCAGTTGGTGGCCAGTTTTCAAACATGTTATGCCTGCCACAAACAGAGACCCTTAGCTTCCATTGCAAATAGCACCGGGTGGTGGTGGTCTGTCTCACCTGGGCCAGGATTTCCCCATGTCTTTCCATTTTGACCCTGGAACTCCCAAAATCACCCTGAAGCTGGTGGCCAATTTTGAGTCTCCTAGTTTTATTCTCTGATGAGTTATCCATGCCAGCGTGGTGTAGTGGTTAAAGTGTAGGACTAGGATCTGAGAAACCCAGGTTCAAATCCCCACTCTGCCATGGAAGCTCTCTGGGTGACCTTTGGCCAGCCATACAATCTCAGCTTAATCTACCTTGCTGGGTTGTTGTGATTATAAAATGGAGGAGAGGATGATGATGTAAGCTGCTTTGGGTCCCCATTGGGGAGAAAGGCTGGATATAAGTAAAATAGATAATAAATAAAAACTGGATGGACAGACAGGTTGATCATTTTATTACTATAGATTCGTGGTAACCACAAGAAGTAATTTGTTATGATATTTGGTTTGGATCAGGGTCATGTAGGGGGCCCAGGTAGAATCTTTGTCCAGGGGCCCATCATGCCTCTCGGCAGCCATGGCTCCCTTAAATTTCCCCTAAAGTCATGCTTAGCTAGGAGAGTTGTATGCTTTCTAGATAAATGTAAGTTTAACAAGGGTGAAACTGGTGTTGTGACTATAACCTCTTTCTACACTTCCAAAGCCTTGCACCTGCTTCACCTTTCTGTGTTTTAGTTCTGTCCTGTCTTTGTGTCCTTAAGTAATGTACACCAAGTGGTCCCAGTCCCAATGAAGAGCTTGATTGGCTCTCCCTGTTTCCAAATGAACATGGCTGTTAGGTGATAGTCAATGACAGGCAAATGGAAAAGTGGAAGTAAAGCTTGCACAGCAATCAATATCATATTAATTACACCCAAATGGAAATGTTTGAATGGGAAGCAACGGTGAATGCTATGTCACTATAGTCTTCACTCAGCTCTCTGTGATACCTATTTTCTGTTGTTGCTGAACTTCTTCTATCTAGTACTGCTCATACACGTATCACCTTAAGCAGAAATTAGAACCAAGAAATATTTTAAAAGACCTCACTCAGTATTATTTCTCTTACATTTGATTATTGCGCCTATGAATTTTACCACTGAGAGGGTAACAATCATTTGTATCTGATAGTAGCCATGACACCTGCGCTCGCGCATTTAGCAATTCCATATCTTTAAGTAAAGGGGTGACTAAATTAGCCCTCAACTCATTGAATATAGGGCACTCCATAATCATATGTTTGATGGTTTTGATTTTATCATATTAGCATTTGTGTATTCTATTAGAGTATGATACTCTATTATGTCTGCCCTCCAAAACTGCTGAGGGAAGAACGTTCATTCTTGCCAAAGTAAAAGCTCTTCTTAGTTTTGGGACTGTAAATTGATAAAAATATTTCGGCAGTTGCATCGGGAGGGCAATTCCCAAATGGAGTGTCAAACATATCCTGCATGCCCTAATAGACGTGCTTGTAGCATCCAACTTCCTTACACATTTTAAAATTTTGTCTTATAATGTCTTTAGTTTTTGTATTTTAATCATATCATTTGTTATTCCTAGGCATTTCATTTTCTTTTCCAGTAGCTGATCCTATTGGCTGTAATGTTTATCTGCCTGGATAAGCCCAAGTAGAGTAGATTCTCCCTCAGATTTTAAAACCTTTACTGTTGTTGCTGAACTATAGCTTCTTTAATCCATTGGTAGGGTGTCATACATCCGTCTTCTTGTCAACACACATGCAAAAATGTTCAAAAGTACAACACTTACAGTAACGGCGAAGAAATTTTGCTGAACTGCTTACAAATGAAAACAAAATCTGCAGCCATATAGAAAATGGCTTTGTTCACTGCCTAGCCCTCTTTTTTGCCAGGAAAAATAGCCATGGAGAGAGGGGGTGAGAGGCAGGTTGGCAGAGGGGCTTATGCCATGCATTGAACCATGTTGGCTAAATGCTGAATTAGTTCAGATGAATCTCCGTTAAGTCTAAGAGGAACGTTTGCCATTCTTGAAATGGTGTGGTTTGAGATGATTGTGAACTGCAAATGTAATGTCTGAACAACTCTGAGACATTGTAACCCTTGATAACATGAAGAACTGCAAGAAACTGAAGAATTCCAAGTTTTTGTCTGTTGTATGAGATGTGACATGGTCTATTGGAAATTTAACTATCCGTGTTATTGCTTGTACTGAAGACACGTTTATTCATTTTTTCCCTTGGTTATATTTTACTATGTTAAATTGCTTAGTTCAAATTGGAGACACCATAGCCACTTTGGGCCCCAAATTATCCCTTCAGATATCCTCTGAACCTCTTTCATAAAAGAGAGGCAGTGTCTCTTCTTCATCTTTCTGGCTCATTTCTCCACAATATAGCCTCTGATAACACAGTGGTCCCGTCTCACCAATAAAATGAATAAACAATCAAAAACCTGGCTCACAAATACACTTAGCATCTTCATAAAGTACTTCAGTCATGAACACCAATTTTAAGGCCTACTATTCTGTATTCTCCTTTGGAAATTTCCTCATAATAAATTGATGCCTTGGTTATTTTGATGAATCACTGCCCCATTATTAAATCATAAATCATTTTTGAAGTGCAGAACAGCCACAAGAAGGTAACAAAAAGAGCTAGAAGTGCTGCCTTTTCCCTTCTCTCAGAGGAGTTAGTGCAGATATGTCTTCATGGCTCACGTTCCAAGCAAATTAGGAGCACTTAGGAGGGTTATTTAAGCACTAGCATCATGTAGGAGATTGATGGCCTTCTCAGCAATTTAACAGAGTTAGGTGAAAGAGCTATGTGGCCTCATCAGAGAAAGTAGATGAGTGAAGCAATAATAAGGAGTGACAGCAACTCACCATGGGGGAAGAAACCGCAGCTGGGGAAATGGAATTACAAGAAGCAAAGAGTGTGAAAACTCCCTCAGATCTTCCCTACAGGATCGCTGCCTTCCTTGGTGTCCCATCAAGAAATCCATTTGCGTTTAAAAGCCCCTCTCCATCCCCTTTCTCTGCATCTGCACAGAAAATTCAGGAGAATCAGTAGGGCTCAGCTTGGTGAACGACACCGTGGAGTCTTCACCACCATGAAATTTCAGTAGTAAAATGGAAGGATTGCTAGTTTATAAAATGGAGCAAGATTAATTCACCAAGCTTCATTTGCTCCTTAGTGGTGCTCTCTTCCCTGCCATCTTTCAGTTAATCAGCGATTTCTAACAAATTACTGTACAATGGATTGAATTCAATACACAAGAAGCTCACATTTTATCCCCTTCCCTGCTGTTTTATATTCTAGTAGGTAGAATAAATCCTGAAGCTGCTGCCAACTTGCTCACTCCTCTATACAAACCAGAAATCATGAAATATACTCTGGATATACTTGTTACCTCCACTCCATTTCCCCATGGATTTTTACTTCCAAAGTATTTGCTTTGCTTCTGAATCATGTGGACATTTAAATGGCTGGCTGCATTATTTACTCCCCCACTTCTCCCCTCGTTCTTTTTATCTGCCATTTCATGCTCCCAGACAAATACCTGCAACTATCAGAAAATGGCAGAGAGGAAGACAGGCCTCAACAACTGGCAACTGCCTAGCTGTCACCTCCATTCCCGCTAGTCATCTAACTCAAATAACATGTTTAGATTTTGTACATTCCCAGTTGTAAAAGTGAATGCATAATCATAGTCATGCTCAGTAAAAGTTGCGGCTGGCTTAATATGATCAGTAGGAACAAGGGCACGAGTGAGTGTTGACTGTTAAAGTATCAAGGAGAGCTGGTTAAGACTTGGATCCACTGGAGTGTTTCTGTGGAGGTAAGGATTTCTCACCTCTCCCCAAAATGTGCTTCCCAAAATGCTGTTCCTGGGGAGAAGCATTTCCGGGTACATTTTGGGCTGCAACAAGATGGGGAGATAAGAAAGTTTTGCTCCACAGAAAGAAATCCTTCTAACCACAGAAATGCTACAGTGGATCTAAGCCTAGAACCCAAAGTAGCAGATCATCTGGTATTTCACTGGGCTTGTAGCCATGCAAGCACTGGAAGCTTTGTCATTCAAACTGGATTTGCTCACTCCACATAAATACTTGTGGCTTGATTTAAACTAGCAGGGTCACTAATTTGTAGCAGATATTCTTGCACATTCTGCTTTTGAATAAAAATTGTCACAAGCTTTGAGCTCCTTGTGAGAGGAAGTGATATCCTAAACCCGTACATAAAATAAAAATACCCATTGGCTGTGTGCTGTCACAATAGAATCATTTATAGCATAGGCTGTACTATAAAAAATATGGCCTTTGTGGTGTTTTGTTTTTACATGGGAGGGCAGACTTTGTCATTAATATTTCCATTGTGGTATTCTGTCCCAGAAATGGCACAAGGGATGCTGGTTTCAGATCAAAAGAGATGAGTTACAAAATGGTGGGAGAGAATGAGAATGGCAGGGTTGCATGCCTTACTTTTAACTAGGCAATATGAGAAATATATAAATATGCAAGGATTTCAGGATATTTTATTGCATAATGTATAGATGCTTTACTTATTTAATGAATTAATTTGATTTATACCCCACCCTCCCTGCCAAGGCAGGCTTAGGGTGGCTGATCTGTTGGCTGATCTGACTTCCTTTTTTTCATAGATGAACTCCAAACTCTAGATCTGGATTGCACAGCTTTGTTTGCTTTCTAATGATCTAAAATAAGCTTTTCCCCTTTCTCTCTCCCCTTCTCTTTTATTCGGCTCTCCTTAACAACCAGGAAATCATCAAGTTTCCCTGATTCAAGAATGCCTTCCCTCTATGCTACTTGGACATTATCTACTTCCTCACTTTCATCCCAGGGAAGCATCTCAGAGAATGGCCCAAGGCAAAGCAGATCTTTGAAATCCGCCTTCATGCCGACATCTTTGGCCTCACCTATGAGGGATCTCTCTGTGCCAGCTGCTTCAGGGCAAACAGCATCACAGAGGAGGGGACGTGGCAACAATAGGAAGAGTAAGTCCTAGTGAGAGAGGCATGTTGTGGACCTGTTCTCAAGTGGCAGAGAGATCATTAGACACCTTTAATTAGCACATTGAAACTTGAGGCTGATGCAATACACATAAATACTATGCTATGCCTCCCTAAGAGCTGTGAACTTGATTGCATACAATATACACATATCCGGCTGGGTAGGAAGTCTGGCCTGCCAAAGGCATGAATGTATAAATTGTGGCCTCTGACAATCCAGAAATGTGCAGTAGGATTAATTGTTCAGAAACTATCCGGAGAGAGATCTTTGTACACAGAGAAAAACAATACCCTGTGTATCACAGGTCTTTCACACTTTAAATAGAACTGAGATTGTGGGGATAAAGTGGAAGCTTCAGCAATGACTTCTACAAACTTACTGTTCGAGGTCGACCCAAGATCTCATTAGGGCAGCATTTATTCTGAAAGAATGTCAGGACTATATGATGGACTACATGATGGCGCATAAGTCATTTTAGAAAATAAGAGTAGTTATATATATCATAGCATCATTGTCCCATGTAGGGATGGGCCTGAACTGCATTTTTGTGGTACAGTTCATGGCTGAACCATAACCAAACCAGGAATTGATAGGCTGGTTCACAAATTGAACCAGTTCATATTGGTTTGTGAGCCATTTAAAGTTTAAACCCCTGCTTTCTGCTCCCTGTGAAAAGCGGCGGGAAACTGAAAGCAGGGGGTTAAATGGCTCAGAGCCATTTCACCTCACGTTTTTTGCTCACTGTGGCTTTTGGCAGCAAGCAATAAGCAGGGGGTGAAATGGTTGGGAGGCATTTCACCTCTGCTTTTTGCTCACCAGCAGTGAGCAGAAAGCTGGGGGTGAAATGGGGAGCAGAAAGTGGTGGTTTAAATGGCTCCAAGCAGGGAGCAGAAAGCAGTGGTTTAAATCGCTCCAAGCCATTTAAACCAAACAGCTGTTGCTCCCTGCTGCTTAGCTGTTTTTCATGAAGAGTAGAAAGCAGGGGTTTAAGTGAAGCCATTAAACCACTGTTTTCTGCTCTTCACAGACCACCACAAACTGCATCAAAATTTGTGGAAGTTCATGGTGGCTCCAGTTTGCAAACATTGGTTCGCGAACTATGAACTTGCCAAAAATCCTGATGAACTTTAGATCGTCAGCCAGTTTGTGCCCATCCCTAATCCAATGGTAATTGTTAGAGTAACATAGGCCCAAAAAAGATCTTTCTGCATCACAAGGGTAAGGGAGACAACAGAAAGGGGAGAAGAAAAAGAAATGTAGGATTCACAGAGGAATTCATACAAAAGTAATTAATACACACTTTATGATTAAGAGAACAGCTGCTTAGAGAACAGGAGCTTTTTGGGTAGCTGAAGCTGATACAGTTGATGGAGCGAAGGTCACGTTCAGCGTTATAAACAAAGGCAGAAAAACAGAGTGTCACAATCATGGAGATCTTTGAAAGTATATATAAAGTATTTGGTTCTGAATGTGGTGGAGAACAAAAACTTGCCACCTTGTTGCTGGCCCTGCCTCAGTAACTGTAGCTGCAGGAAGCTTTGGTGGCACAGATACAGACGTAATATTTCTGGAGATGTTGAAACCATGGGGGAAAGACTGGGTTTTTGTGCAACTGAAACGCCAGAAATATTGGTGTGTTTGTGTGTGTTAAAATATAGGTAATAGCCACTGTTCTTATTATTCCTAAATTTATTTTATTGATTTAACGTAGTGTGTAAAAACTAACAACTTAGCATTTAAAACACTATTACTTGACATATATACTGAATATGGGGAGGAGAACATAAGAACATGAGAGATGCCAATGTTGGATCAGGCCAAAGGCCCATCCAGTCCAACACTCTGTATCACACAGTGGCCAGAAATGCCAGTGACATCAGGAGAAACCCCTGGAAAATTGGGGGGACGGATTTTTCCCCCCTTAATTTTTCTGGAGTTTTGTTTTGTTATGTTTTGATTTTTAAGGCCTTCACATCTCTAGGTACAATTCATCCTAGTGGGGAGATCAAGTGATCTAAAGTTTCATCTGTTAAATTTATTTGCATCTTGCCAAGAGACAAAAGGTAGTGCAAATGAATTTCCTCTTGGTTTAAAATAAACAATGAAGTAACAGACTTAGAGCAGGTGGTAACAGTTGGTTTAATACAGCAAAGCATTTTTAGCCAAATGGGTAGTACGGCAATTCTAAGTTATTACAAATGAAAGCAGTGGGATCCACATTATTGTTAGCTTTTCAATATACTTTAGACAGCTGTTAATATATTTTATGCCCCCATTTATAAGCAAGTGAAGACGAGACATATGATTCTGCCTTTTACTGGGTCAGACTGTTGGTCCATTGAGCCCAGTATTGTTTACTTGCCTGGCATAGTTTCTTTGTATTCTCACTCAGTCCCAGCCCTGCTGCCAAACATCCCTTTTAAACTGAAGATTATACAGCTTGGTGGTTCTGTATGCAACATATGTGCCCTTCAGTGTTCCCTCTAAGCCGAGTTAGTGTGAGCTAGCTCACAGTTTTTTAGCCTCCAGCACACACATTTTTTGTCTTAGCTCAGGAAGGGGATGGCTCCAGAGCAAACTAATTTATGCAGTAGCCAAATCACCTGCTCACAACTTTAATGCCAGTAGCTCACAAAGTAGAATTTTTGCTCACAGGACTCCACAGCTTAGAGGGAACATTGGTGCCCTTCCATAGAATTATAAGCCTCTTGCAACTTACTAGGAGTTCACAAAAACAAGTTGCAAATTCAAATAAGCACTTCAGGAATTTTCTCCAGCTATTTTTGGTGTGAATACTCTGCATTTAGCTGTTAAGGGCTGATTATTATTCTTATCCCTCCGCTTTTCCTAATCCCGTCTCCACAGATGGATCTCTTCAGAAACCTGTGCAGCCTATAGCTCTTATTCCACTCATCGGCTCCCTGAGGCGCACTTCTGCCACCCCTTTACGACCCCAGCAATCTCCAATATATCAGCATATCTCCAGTCTGCCCCGAGGAGCTGGCACAGCTGACACAGGAGCCAGGCTAAATTCTTCCCATGATTCTTCATTGGTGTTAGTGCCTCGGAGTGGAAACAGCAGAGCTCCTTCTGTGTGTAGCTCAGTACTAGACACCAAAGAATTGCCAACAAAAGGCGAATTGACTCTAAAGCCACCTGCATCCGCTCCACCCTCCATACTGGTGAAGCCAGATACCTCCAGAAACACTACTGAGAAGGTAACCGTGGAGTCTCCACATTGTACAGGGGGTGAACTCATGGTTGAGTTAGTGTGGAGAGCAGTCACTAAAGATCTCAGTGTTAACAGCAGGATTTTTCAAGATGAGTAGCCGTGTTTTTCTGTAGCAGCAAAAAAGAGCAAGAGTCCAGTAGCACCTTAAGGACTAACAAAAATAGTAAAAGGGACTCACAACCAAGCTTTTGTGAGTCACTGTTCACTACTTCAGATGATTTTTGTTGACTATTATGGACTTTTCCTGACTATTATAGACTCTGTAGGGATTCTCTATAATACACTATCTGCATCATTCATGATTTCTCCAGAAGAATTTCCCAACTGTGGCTTGCAATATCCTCGTTTCTCATTAACTCAGCATCACTAGTCATACAACATATAGTGCTCTCTTCCAGTATACCAGATGTTTCTTCATCTCCAGCTATTAGCTAGGGGAAACACACTCACACACCATACACACAAAAATCAGCTATGCCTCAGTGGGCAACTAGTTAGTGAAGTAGAATGGAAATATGGCTGCAGTGGAAGTGATTTTATCACTGCCACAGAAAATCTGTTGGCTGACCAGAGTAACCCATGTCAAAGTCCTCTTTATTCATGGAAGTTAGGCTTGGGATAAATCTTTTCAGAGGCTCAAACCAAAGAGAAGTAGAGGAACAGAAGTTTAAAAAGTGCATTTATAAGCTTTAATGTAAGCACTTTGTGTGTTCCAAGTGCCTCGAATATATTCTCTCAGTAATTTTTAACACAACCCTTGAAGCTTGGGCAGCATTATTCCCAGTTTTGCAGATGGAACTGGGCAAAAAGATTGTGACTTCTACTTCTGTTGAATTTTCATCTTGCCTTTCCTCCAGGAGCTCAGAACACAGTAGATGGCCCTTCCCTCTTCTATTTAATCTTCATAGCACCCAGCCAGTTAGGCTAAGAGACTGTGACTGACCCTAGGTCACCTAGCAAGTTTCATGGCGGAATGGTCATAAGCCATCATAGTAACCACTATGCCACAGTGGCTCTGGACTTGCCCAAGGCTACCTGAGGCTGAAGGACCACCTCCCCTTACATGTTCCCCACTGGCAGCTTCAATCTTCCTGGCAGGGTATTCTGTCAGTTCCCCCTTTGTCCAAGGCAAGGATTTTATTTTTATTTTTTTGTATTGCTGTTACTATTGGGTTAATATAGCAGAGTTTTGCCCAGTCATAGAAGCGTGATACTGAGTGCAGTGAATAAATCTCCCAAGAAGTATATTGCAAAAAGGGTTAACTTACATTTATTCAAGTAGATTCAGTTCCCATTCAGGTTGCAGTTGAAAGAAGAGAAAGAAGCCTAATCTGAAGAGTACTTTCCCTCTCACAAATGACCAGCTAATCTAGCATCGTGTGTATGGGAGTATTATGAGGGCATTGTCTCTATAGGAGACAAATAACTTGCAGAACTGTGTGCTGCTTGATAAATAGTTTCCACTGCAGCACAGTTTTATAGGCATAACTAGTACACTTATTGGCACTGACTCCTCTTTTTTCAAACATTGCTCAATGTGCCATTTCCTAAGCATTCTGTCAATCCGGAGGGGGCAGGGAAAGAAAGCTTGCTTTTCTAGTTCATTGCTAGGCAGGCTTACAATTTAATTTTGGTTTTGTTGTGTCAGCATGCAGCCAAAACAATGGCAGCAATAACTCCTGACTTCTGTTCTGTTTTAGCAAGTGAAAACAGTGAGGTTTCAGAACTACAGCCCTCCACCATCCAAGAGACACAGCTCTCAGTTTTCATCCAGCCTGCCCAATGGCAAGACTGAGCAAGGAGGAGCTACTGAAGCCACACAAACAGAAGCAACGAAGGGCCCTGATGCCTCAGCTCTCTATTCCCACCGCATTGGCTCTAGTCCGGTTCATCAAAGAAGGATGCTGCATCCCAAGACCTCCTCCCTGGACCTTTCTAGCCAAGCAGGTCACCTGACCTTTCCTACAAAAAAGAATTATAACAGCACCTCTGAAAATTGATAAAAGGTTAAAAAGGTAAAGGTAAAGGTTCCTACTTAATTGCTTCCATTTGGAAAAAAATAATCTATTTTTCTTTGCTGCAAGGGGGGAAACCCTTACGTATGCCATAAATAAACACTTCTTCAGTGTAAATCTCACAGAAAAGTTAGGCCTCTGCCAAGAAACTACAATAGCAGAGATGGTCAACAAATGACTGATGGATACTTCTGATCCCATATTGTACAGAAGGGTCTTGTTTTGTGTGGCTTTGATCATTACCTCAGCTGCAAAAGTCTGCCATGGTCAGGCATTTCTCTCCACATACAAAGACTGTCAGGGCTCTTTTTGTAGCAGGAACTCCTTTGCATATTAGGTGACACACCCCTAATTTAGCCAATCCTCCAAGAGCTTACAGAGCTGTTCTTACAGGGGCTACTGTAAGCTCTCGGAGGACTGGCTACATTAGGGGTGTGTAGCCTTGAGAGATCGTGTGCATGGAGGCCTGCTCAAAAGCCACACTGGACTATTACATTCAACTACTGTGCAATACAATTAGAAAGGGTAAAGCAATCATGTTACAAAACATTAGACCTTCTTTGGTCTGTGCTATTCCATTCCACAGTGGATAAAATAGTTCCCTGCCTCTCTGGCTGAGTTTTCAAATTCCCCTTATGCTTTGTTTCCTACCTCAGTTTGTACCTGAAGAGTTTGGAGTCAATTTATATTATGTCTTTTTAGGAAACGTGTATATCCCAATGTCCAGCATAGTTAATCGAGATAAATAATGAAACACAATTAATGCACTGGGTCTCCCCGGCCATGAATTTTGGATCCTGCTTCCATAAACCAGCTGACTGCTATAACGACTGAACAGTACACCAAGCATCTAGTAGCGATGGTAATGCAAACTCCACATGATTAAGAAAAAGGCATCATAAATGTGTGTGTGTGTGTGTGTGTATGTGTGTATATATACACACACACATATACATATATATAAGTGTGAGAAATTTGTGCCCCAACAGGTCAAAGGTCAGTTACATGCTTTTACATGCTTTTCAGGAAACAGTCATCATATTTTTAAAACTTCATGATCTGAAGTTGCAATCTTAGGCTCACTTATTAGGGAAGAAACCGCATTGCACTCAGAGGGACTTATTTCCAAGCAACCATGCTTAGGATCTGACTCCAGCTGACTGCTATAACGACTGAACAGTGCACCAAGCATCTAGTAGCGATGGTGATGCAAACTCCACACGATTAAGAAAAAGGCATCATATATGTGTATATATATAAGTGTGAGAAATTTGTGCCCCAACAGGTCAAAGGTCAGTTACATGCTTTTCAGGAAACAGTCATCATATTTTTAAAACTTCATGATCTGAAGTTGCAATCTTAGGCTCACTTATTAGGGAAGAAACCGCATTGCACTCAGAGGGACTTATTTCCAAGCAACCATGCTTAGGATCTGACTGTACATTTCTATTCATAGAGTAGAGCTACATTGAGATTTTTCTAAAACTCAGAAGCCCCACATTGTTAACCACAGTGCTCATCTACTGTCCACCTAGGCCCTCCTGATCTCTCGCCCATGTTTTGCCCTCAATCTCCAAGAACAGCCTACAGAATGGTGCCGCAGGAGGATGTCAGGACCTTTCATAAAGCCCTTCCTTTCTCCCATCCCACTCTTATGTATTTTCAGCCAGTTTCATCTACATACCTGCTTGCTTGCTTCCAAGCTATGCTTAGGATCTGACTGTACATTTCTATTCATAGAGTAGAGCTACATTGAGATTTTTCTAAAACTCAGAAGCCCCACATTGTAAACCACAGTGCTCATCTACTGTCCATCTAGGCCCTCCTGATCTCTTGCCCATGTTTTGCCCTCAATCTCCAAGCACAGCCTACAGAATGGTGCCGCAGGAGGATGTCAGGACCTTTCATAAAGCCCTTCCTTTCTCCCATCCCACTCTTATTTATTTTCAGCCAGTTTCATCTACATACCTGCTTGCTTGCTTCCAAGCTTGCTCCCAGTCCCTGCTATGTAACCTCGGTAATAAGGGGAATTGGAATGCAGTATCTGTTTAACCCGGCTGTTAGAATAGCACTAAACGGTAGGGCTTTGTTTATTTTGTTCTCGCTGCTAGTTCAAAGGCCAAACATTCAAGGCAAAAGTGAGGGAAGCCTGAAATTGTGATGTCTCCTACTGCATTGTTGCAATAAAGGGTGGGAGCACACTTCCTCGAGTCCTTGCAAAAAGTGAATGAAATTGACACAATGGAAGTTGACAGGCTGAAGGAGACAATTTTCCACTTGGAATCCAGTGCAACTGGAGGACAGAGTTATCATTTCCTCACACCAACCGTCTTTTTAATCTTCATTTGCAAAACAATATAATGCCACCCATCCTTTCAGATTTATCCTCCTTTGGGGGCTCAAATTAACCCCTATGTCATATGGAAAGTCAGCACTTCTCAGGTCATTGTAGCACTAAGATCCCCATGTCACTTTTGCAGAGACAAGTACAGTGAATACAACACAGGAAGAAGTTTTCATTTATGGCATACTTAAGTAGGATACGTGGCACAAGGCATAGAGAGAAAGGGTAATTAGATTGGTAATCATTGCTAGTATGGCATTATTTGACATGCAACAGTTTTGTTATGCAGGTAAAGTGGGGAGGATTTAAGGCCACGTGCATCATGTGTAAACAATCAAGTGTCTACCTTGCTGCATGAGGAAACAAAGCTGCATCACACACAGTCTGACAGAAATAATGGAGACAAATTATTATCATCATGTTTGTATCAAGCCCTTCTCCCAAGAAGCCTACATGAGGTTCCCACATGCTATATTCAGAGGGTTCCTGCATGGTCAGTTAGTGTAGGGGAGAGTGTCTGGGCCAAAGCCAGGCCTTAAGATTTCATGACTGAATAGGCATTTGAACCCAGCCCCCCTTGACTCATTCTGTCCACTGTACTTTAGAAGGGTCATCCCTGAGCTCTGATCTGGATAGCCCAGGCAAGCCCAATCTCGTCAGATCTCGGAAGCTAAGCAGAGCCGACCCTGGCAAGTACTTGGAAGGGAGACCTCCAAGGAATACCAGGGCTGGGATGCAGAGGCAGGCAATAGCAAGCCACCTCTCTGAAATGACCAAGCCCCCCTCTAAGGGTAGCCAGAAGTCAACCATGACTTCCAGGCACACATACACGCATGCACACACACACACACACACACACACACAAAACACTCACAAAAAAGGGTCTTCCCTGAAAGTAGCCAACATATTTTGAGCTTCCCAAAGCTTCTTTTCCAGGGAATTCTTAACTATATTAAAAAGAGCTCTTGTGGCGTCTATTCTCCTTAGCCTTCTCACACCCTATAGCCCCCTTAGATACAATTAAATATTCCGTTTGTAGCCAAAAATAGGCTCCTAATCAAGTTGGTTATTTTGCTGCGTGTCTGAAAGCTGCAGCCCATGGTGATTTCCAGCCATGGGTGCCTCTGTTTCCAAACAATCTTGCTACTTTCGCAGTTCACTTGTCTTCCTTACAACCCCCAGGAAAAATGATGTGTACGAAGCAGTTAGTGACTGATAAATATTTTGGAATAAGTATATCAAGCTTGGCTTTGGGGGGTTTTTTTGTTTGTTTTTTAAATAAACGCTACAAAAGTATTCCTGCACCAGGGAAACCCAGGCTTCCTTCAGTGCCCACAAAAGTATCTAGTTCCATAGCTCAAGTAGCTTTCAGCAATCAGACCTTTGGGGGGGTTCTTGCCTATTGTATGTTGCTCATAAACGTGCGCGCGCACACACTCGTGAGACTCACTTAATCCAAAAATACCCAGTGCTTGCGAATAGGCAGATGGAATCACTGGCAAATGCTTCACTGAGTGAAAATACTGACGGGTAGATGCCAGCTGAGAAAACATGGAAAGCGGGATTGGCATTTTAGAGCCTTTGAAAACTTCTTTCATCCATTTGCATGAGCAGTCTTCGTTCCCAAAGCCAAACCTGGCTGAGCCGATTACAGGGTTCGCTGAGCCAGAGGGGCAGTTTAGCCACATCAGATGGGGCCCTTGGGCCAAAAATCTGACAGCCCTGATTCAAAACCATGACAATGTTATGATTGCTTGCCTTTAAGCAGCAGAGGCTTTGGCACTGGGATGGGTTTAGCCTACTACATGCTACTGTAATTATTCACCAAGAGGAGTTAGTTGAAAACAAAGAAAAACCTCTCCAGTCCAACAGAAGCAGCTGTTCTGTGCTGGTGCTGTGGCAAATGTAACAGCACTTGCTGCCTTTGTAAACCAAGTATTTCCTTCAAATCAGGAATGGCAGCTGTGGAAAAACTGTACCATGGAGAGCTAGAATAATTTACAATGCAGTCCTAAAAATGCTTTCCCGGTAGTAAGCGCCATTCAGTAGGATTCCGAGTAGACCTGCTTTGGATGGTACTGTAAGTTGCTAGGGTTTTTTACCTTTTACTGAACACTTTCCTTTTGGTTGTTACTGTGTTCACTCTCACAATCAGTGAGATAAGTCACTGCATTCCTCATGGGACAGATGGAAACTGCAGCTGAGAGGAGCTTACCCTTGGGCCTCCACTTTGTTGCGATAGACCTGTGGCTGGAAATTGGGTTTCCTAGACCCAAGTCCAACTATAGCCCTTGGACTCTGCTAGCTCTGTTTGTGGACCTCCATGATACTAAAACCCACATAATAGGAGGAAATGCTCAACAAGCAATTTTAGAGTTTGAAAGTTGTCTTCACCATCAGAAATAAGTAATCTTTGTCTTACACAACAAGTCGGACTCTAAACCCATTTGGAGTGAGTAGAGATCAAATGAACATTCACAAGTATTGAAGGAGAAGGTCCTTGTAACAGTGCTGGAGAACCTTTCTGCATACTTCCACTGCCCCAGTGTTCATTGTGTATGCTCAGTTGGAAGTGATCTCTTCTCAATGAGGGTTAGAGACACCATTGTGCAAAGGACACTTTCTGCAACACTCAGCCCATGTTATGCACCAAGAT